CCCAGGGACAGAGAACCCACCACGGACTTGGGCACCAGCTGCCTTGTTTCCAGCTGGAATTCACCAGCTTCCAGCCCCGGGATCTTCTTGGGCCCTTTTCTTCTCGAGCTTAAATCTTCTCTCTGCAGGTGCTTAGTGACCACGATCACACCCGCTCCCACGATCACACCCGCTCCCACGATCACACCCGCTCCTACGATCACACCCGCTCCCAACCCGCCCTAAATAGCTGAGGGACCCAAGTCTCGGGGTCAGGCAGATTTTCCAGGCCAGGGCCTGTTCTTGTAGCCACCAGGGCTGTGTGCAGAATTCAGCAATGGCCACGGCCACCTTCCTAACCCTACCCAATAGTCCCTGTCACATGGGCCTGGGACTTTCAGGTCCCAGCATCTCCCCGGGAGCTCACACTCTGCTAATGATCCCCCAAGTCTGCATCCCGCAAGCGCGACTCATTCTTAGCGCGTGACCTTACATTCGGCTGTAATAGAAAGTGCAGGTTGTTTGAATGAGCCCAGGTGGCCAAGCAACCCGGATGGGTCCATATAACTGACCCGCCCTCTTCGTTCCATACCACCCTGATGGGATTTGCATCATCCACAAACTACGAGCAATGATTTCCTGTTTTCATTATACAATAGCACTGGGCCAAGCAGATCCCTCTAGAAACCCTCTGTTAGAGACGCCCCTATTTACAATTCACTTTTCAGCTCTATCAATTAGCCAATTATTAACCAGTTCCGTGTGTGGTGGATTTTGTGCCATGGTTTGTTTTTAATCAGAACATGGTGCAGTACTGAGTCAAGCGCTGGACAGAAATCCAGGCGTGTTCCTCTCACCAAGCCTGCACTCTCCTTTAAAATCATCAAGTTTGCTTGACGTGCTCTATGTTCCCTTGCACTCTCGCTGGCTTTCCACTGACAGCTCAGCCCCCTGCCATCCACCAGACTCGTCCGCCTGCAAGAACCTACCTGTTACTGAAAACTTTACTGCAGTTGTAAACTTTAACAACCAGCATCTCCTCCATAATGAGCTTCCCATAATGCGGCCAGCGAAAGAGCTAAAACAAAACACAAACACACAGTGACCTGCCAGAGCTTCTGCAGCACCTCCCGGGGACTCAGCCTGTCCCCCTTCCCGAGGGCATGCTCCTAATGCTCCCCTCGCCGAGGAGTGTGGGTGGGTGGGTGAGACCAGGCACCCCCGGCTGCTGCTGCGGGATCTTGGGGCAGAGCCTTTTAGCAGGAGGCACTGGAGATGCACCAGTGTTTCGAGCAGTTTGCCTGCTCCAGCCGCACTCCAAGAGGGAGCTGAGATGCGCCAGGGCTGGGGGCAGCGGTGGGTGAGGCCCGGGCGAGGCCAGCCAGGCAGGGGTGGCTACAAAGTCAAAGTAACAACACTGGTAAAATCCACATTGCGACGTCCATCCCGCAGCCAAAGCACGAGCTCCTGCTGCATCCTGCCTCCCCGGGGAACCGGCTTTTAAGTAGCCACGTCAGGACTCGACCAGTGACTTACATCCCTGCGCCCCGCAGTGCAGGGGAGGCATCTCAGGCAGCTGGCGGGGGGCAAATCACTGTTGGGAGAGGGAGGCTGGGAATCCCTACGCCCATGACTCCTACCCAGCCCTGGCTGAGTTGGGGAGGGCGGGACTTCCTCTTCCCCAGCAAAGAGCGGCTGGGCTTGGCACAGAACTACGCCCAGAAACGTCCCACGGCTGCACTTCCGCCCCCATCACTCCTCAGCCATAGGGAGGGGGCAATGATATGGGCACCTGCTCAGACCCCTCTGCCAAGCCTCAACCCCCTCACTGAGAACCTCCCCCCAAACCCTCGCCTCCTGCAACCAGACCAGCCTGCCAATCTCCATGCCCCCCACACCCAGACCCCTGAATCCGGACCTCCACCACCGCTCATACCTCCACCTCACCACCCCAACGAGCCACCTGCACCCAGACCCCATCCCACGGAGCCTCAACTCAGCCGTAGCTCAACCTCCGCCCCACTCAGACCTCAGCCATCCCCCGCTGCCCCACCCCGAACCACTCGCTGAGCTCCTGTTCAGC